TATACACCTACTATATACCCTTAAGTTACCCTTAAAACGTCCCTAGAAAGGCCTAAGGGTCCATATTAGGGACCCATACTTCTAACCTTAGATACATGGTCATCAGGACAAGCTTCCGCAGCCCACCCGATCCAGAAAGATCACGTGAATTTTGACAGGTTTAGGGATTCCTGCTCGGCTGACCCTAAAACTCAAAAACCTAAACCCTAAACCCTAAAACCCTAAACCGTGCATATCCTGCTGTGTTGCTTCTTGACACGGCTTTCCGGACTCTACGGTGATTGCGACCCGACCTCCCTAGCCGGGATGGTAGTTCGGAAGTGCGAGTTTAGGATCTGTTGGGTCTAGAGTTTATTAGGTTTGAGATTTCAGGCTAAACCCTAAACCCTAAATCCCAACACAAGCACAAGCAAAAACATAACTCACCTCCAACCCCTGAAGTCTGACCTTACCCCTTCACGTAGCTACCAAAGCTCGCCTGTCGAATGCTGTTCAGCACCAGGACGATGCCAAAGAGGCTATTGCCTGTCAAGCAAATCTTGAGCCGGGGTGCTTACAATGCAAGGTCCGAATAATCAGGAAAAGAAATAATCAGGAAAAGCAAGGCTTTGGCGCATTGTAAAAAACGATGATATCTGGCAGGGACTGCGAGGGGACACTATTCCTCATCACTCCGACCTCTCGATTACAGGGACCTCAAACCCGAAACCCTCAACTCTGACAATATGTCATACAGGGTTTGGGGTGGGTTGAGTTTAGGGTTTAGGGTACGGTTTAGGGTTTATAGGGTTTCGGGTTATCGGTCTGAGCTTCGAGCCTGTTTACAAATATCCGCCCGAGCCCTAAACCCTAAACCATAAACAACATGAACGTTTACAGCAACACCCAGAACCACTAAGCACCAAAACCCTAGGCTTGAACCCACAACGACACTAAAGAAGGAACACCCAAAATCCAAAGTGGTATTTCGGGTCCAGGTGCACCCTCCCGAAGCAACAAGGAAGCATGAACAACCTAGGCTGTCTACTACTCCTAGTCTTCATGCCCCTACCCTAACATCCTTACACCCTACACCCTGAACCCCAAAACCTAAACCTAAACCCACTCCATAGGACGACCCTAAACCCTAAACCCACTATATAGAACCTCACCCTACACCCTAAACCCTAAACTCGAAGCCGCCCAGGAAAGGCCCCTCCCGAGCCTACCAACTCGGCGAAGGCTCGATAGGTGCCCTCGGCCAAGCCCTGCACTAGCGGCTCAACCTCGCCAAGGGAACCCGAAACGGTTCGGGTCTCGGGTTTAGGGCGCAGGGTTTAGGGTAAGGGTCCTGAGTGTTGTCTAGTATCGGTTAGTTTAGCTGATCTTATAGGGCTTTACAGCTTCTATACAACGCTTCAACGTTTATACAGGTCTTTACGATATTATAGGGTTGTGTGGTAGTTCTGTGAAGGTTGTATAAAGGTTCCATAAACTGCTGCTAACCAGGATCCAAGCAAGCTAAGGGTGAAACTAGGATCAAGCTTTCCTAAACCCTAAACCCTAAACCCTAAGCCCTAAACCCCAAACCCAAAGCCCTAGACCCTAAAAGGGGCTTTCTGGTCTTAGGCTTCAGGATTTCGACTAGATGGACTTAGGGTTAAGGGCTTCAGGCCCTCTTAGAGGGGCCGGGGATATACGGCCTACAGGTTCAAGGGTTTAGGGTTTAGGCCTGGGACATACGGCCTACAGGTTCACGGGTTTAGGGTTTAGGGCTTAGGCTTGCAGTCGATGTGCCTAAAAGGTGGGATGCAGGTACGGCAATGCAAAACCGGAGGCATCACATATGGGATCCCTAGACCCGAAACCCTGAAGCCGTAAACCCCTAAACCC